AAGAACACACTGATAGTACTGATAATCGAATCGAGTCAACTGAGCGCTCTAATATGCTCATAACGTCATAGAAGTAGGATAAATACGGTAGTAGAGCTTAACACTAACTTGCATAGCACTTTAGACTGGGTGCAGAGATAACCCTGTTCCCGGTAATGGAAGGTGCAGTGTCGCTGCCTCAGGCGCAATGCAGTGCAGGAGCTCATGGATGTGACAGGCAATTTCGAGAAAGGCAAAGAATAGATGTTTTTGTAGAGACAACTCCTGACAAACACATTCTAAAAAGTGTGTCAATTACACTCGCATGTGCGTTCCAGCTGATAAATAGATGAAAGGCACATTCTATGATGTCAGGACGTGGATTCGAATGCAAGCTCGTAGGCACTGAGTAGTGTGTGCCACTGAAGAAAAAAGCCTGAAAACGTCGGCAAAAGCGATCCACATTTTGTGGGCTTTGAGGTCCAAATGTGAATAAACGCTTGTCCTCTTAATAACTGCGAAAAGAAAGGATCAGGCCGTTGGAAACGTCTCAAACAAGTTCTCGAGTGGACGAGTGTTCGAAAAAGCCAGACATTGCTGTGCGGGTGAAGACCACAGAGTCAGAGAATAGACGAGCTAAAAGATGAAAAAGGTCGACGTGAACTAAAAGAAACAACGCTTCGAGTCTGTGCACATATAGATACAGTCGTGCGGATGATGAGGCAGCCAGGAGAGATGAAAACTCTTTGGCGAAGCGCCAAACTAGTTTCGATCAGTTGTTGAACTGAGCAAGCGACAAAGGGTAACATATCGTTCGTATCAGTCATTCCACCACCTCTTGGCACCTACCCCGTTTCGAGAACTGGTGCTAAGCAAGCTGGAGGCGCACCAAGCCCAGCCTCACCGACATGTCCCATTATTCACAACGAACAGAACTGTTCAAGGCATATAGCACGATAATTTGGTACTCGGTCTAAAATGCTAGCAGGGTGCTATATAGTGGGGAAAATGCGAAAAACGAAGTGAAACGGTCAAAAACCTGCGAAGAAAAGCCTTCGTTCTTAATGACTTAAAGACAGCCCCCGCGCTCGAGTAGTACATGGTCGTCCTTCCTTGTGCAAGTAGTACAGCCCCCAAGCTAGAGACTGTCCCACTCTATTCGTCTGCACAGCGAGCGAGAAGCGAGCTACAGCCGCTGTAAGTTCTAGCTACAGCCGCTGTAAGTTCTAGTTCTAACGCCTGCTCAGTTGGACCGCCTTACTTGCTAGATGTCCTCCGACGGAGGCCACTCAGTTGTTCTTAGTGGGGCGGCGGGCATTGCTAATGCCCATGGATAATTCTGCTCCCCTTTATTACAGTTTACTCATTGGAGGTATATACATTCAATTCAACTCATTTCGCGAGGTGAAACGCGTAAAAAGCACGAGTGACGCAATTTTCGTGATGCAAAACCTCGACGCACAAAACGTGCGCTACCGTAATCCCAAATTCAGACACCGCGTTGATAAAATTCCTTTTTCCTTCCAAGAGTTTTTCCTCTGCGTTTTTGTTGTTTTCTTTTTGTATTTTTTTTTGCACTGGATGATATCAACTACTGCGAGATGTGATAGAGAGATTTGTGAGCTAGGGGTTGCACAGAGACCGCAGGGAGGTGTGACTGTGAGCGATTTTGTTTATGTTGTTCTGGAGGACGCTTCTTGCCTGTTTTCTTCTTTGGGAGATTTGCTCGGGGATGTATCAGCTACTGTTTCATAATTGGAAAGCAGCTACCCATGAGACTTTTATCGCGGGAGGTGTCTTTAACAACCAATTTTGGACGAGTTTCCTGTAGGCAACTTGCCAATAAGCTGGCTAACGCTCGGCGTGCTACTCACTATCTCCATGCAGCATCCGCGGCCGCTTCACGTCAATCTCTTCGCTTCTTATTGTACTTCGCAAGTGGACCGATGGTGATGAATGTACGACACAAATGTCCCACCGAAGCGGAAACGAGCATCAGTTTGGTCTGACATTTTCCGGTGGGCGGGCACGATGGGCGTCCGGGTTATGTATGTGCAGCTGTTGATTCAGGGATGCCTATGAAGTGTACTTCCGGGGAACGGGTAATATTCATTAGCGAGAATAATTTGCCTTTTGAGCCTGCTTTCTGGCCTATGGTAAGCTATCCGCAGACAGTGCTGGCTCAAGATTTTAGATAACGATGCGGAACGCCGCTTAATTTTCAACTCGTCGCCTGCTCATTCGGTGCGTGTTGTTCTAATTCCTTCTTCTGGTCGTTTGAGAACTCGTAATCCGGGCTTTTACAGGGTACCCATTGCTTGCGCTCGTGCTATAAAGGGGTGTTGTTCATACTTTGCTCACCATTACAGGACACCCGCTGGGCCAATACGGTACGTGCGAACAATCTACTCGCTTGGTGCAGAGCTAACCTCTTGTGGAAGCATGCGAAATCATAAGAGCGGATGTTTGGTTGTGCGTCTTAAGGCGAACTTGCGCAGATCTTTCAACGAGCCGGGATGTGGGAACCTGTATGGATTTCTCTACCTGTATAGAGCGCGCACCAATGTTCTGAGTAGAGGTTTGGGCCTTATAGAATTCCCGATCGTGCCAAGCGAATTTCGCCACTCGCTGTTAAAGGGCACGTCCATCCCGACCCGGCTCAGCCCCCGGACCCTGCCTTTGCCCGGAAAGTCGACCTGAAGATGAGGCTCAAGGCCCGAAACGTCGCCGAGAGATAACGACTTTAGAAGGTTCTTCAATTCATCAATCAAAAGAAGACTTGATATTGCGGAACATTGGAAAGGCGCTAACTAAGAGCTAAGAACATAAATCTGCTTTCAGCAATCAAGAATTTGCCTTTATCAGTCAGATCCGGTTCCACATGAGAATAAATAGGATCTTAAAGCCTAAAGGCAGTTGGCACGACACGGCACGTTTCCTAGCTAGCCTAAAGTAGGTGCGCTTTTATAAGTGGGGAAAGTGGCGGAAAAGACACGGTACGTGAAAAAGTCGGGAAGTACGCCGAACAAAACCTTCCGTTCTCACACATTCTCTCACACACCGTTCATTTTCTTGTCAGTGACTTGAAAATCGATTTCGGACGAGTTTCCGTGGGGCATCTTGCCATCACCACTTACGAACATTTATTGGCCTGCGATTTTTTTCGTGTACCCATGCACGATGCAGCATTGCACGACCTGGCCTTTTTCATTTACCAATTCCCTTTCGCCTTCATTATTTGCTTTTTTAGCAAATGAATTGAATTACGGAGCATTTTGCTGGGAGGCTCGTTTCAAGGGCTTTCGGGGGCTCTATATCCTGCCAACTGCCTTCAGTGCCGCTGCCACATATCGTCCTGGATGGGTAAGGCAACATACAATGTACAGGTAGTGTGCTGTATCCCATCTGAGCCTACAAAGCAATGTGAATATAGCCTAGTAAATAGTATACAGGAATAAGCCGAGACTCAAGATTGTATTTTTTTCATTCCGACCCTTAATTGCCCAAGCAGTCCCGGACGGGTGAAATGCCTTCCCAAAGCAGTATACACACGGTGAAATTCCTTAGCACCGCTTTTAATTGCTGGAATCGAGCAATGAAGCCTACGGGATCACTGGCAGTTCAATCAACGGTCTCGCGGTATACAGCCTTTCTTGCGGATGATAGGGCCTGTTAAAAAGACTGAGTTTGAATGTCAGCCTCCGTTGCTGAAGCAGGTAAGCGACAACAGCCAGTGGAAAAGGACTGATACGAACATTATGCAGTCTTGTCCCTTCCTAAGCAAAACAGACTAAAATGGGCTGCAGTCACGCCCAACCCATATTCTCCTTGACAAGCCCCATCACCCGCAGCGAAGCATGAGTGTATGTGCGGTGCCCAGAGTCTCGAGAGCAGGGTACAGCATCGTTGGGACAATTGGGGTCATACTTTGGAGCCCCCTCCCACCTTCCCCCAGTTGCCTGCACTGTACAACTGCTTTTTCCGATAGTTGATTCTGGTAACCTCTCCCCCCCCACCCCTTGCTCCTGCCGAACATTTTCGATTACTAGGCTTAACCCCTAGTGGCAGGAGGTAGTGTAGTGACAAGTGGCGCTCTCACCACTCGCGCGGTCCTGGGTCGACTCCTTGCCTAGGCAAACCAAGCCTTCTACCCCCCCCCTGGGTATGGTAAAATGGCACCAGGTTCGTTCGAGAGGATAATAACACTGACTTGTGCATCGCTGGCTTCCGCAAGTCATTGTGTAGGCCACTTCGCATTCAACAAGCACGCCACCTGACGTATTCTGATCGGAAGGTAGAATGCTGCCGCACCCACAAAGGGATACTCAACGCAAAGACTTTTTCCTTTACCCTTTAATCGCGTTTGAAATCTTGAGCCGTATAATACAAAACACCGTCACCCTTTCAAGGTTAGCATAATTAGGTACTCGGAATCCTGTGAGTATTGTAAAGGGGGACAGCGATTCGACTCCTAACGGGGTAACAAGCTGGTTTCGGCTCGGAAAATGTGAAGTCGAGCTCTTCGCACTAGAACCAGCCGAGGCTTTAGGGTATCCAAGCACAGTTGTTTCAACAAAGCGTTCAACCAGTTGGCGGTCTTAACTTGATTCTGCCTAACAGAATGTGCTCGAAGAGATCCAGGCAAAGTGGCGTCCCGTGCGCCCGTGAGCCATCAGTTCGCACCAATGCTGAGTGATTTCGCAGGTTTACCTGCAATCTAGGGCAGTGAATTTGCCATGGAAGATGCATGTCTAACGCCGCTGGTTGCAACACGGATTTCATGACCACATCCAGTGTAATTGTTAGCACAGCACACCGATATTTGAAGCAACGGGGAAGGATGACAGGGGTGGGGCGCAATAATGAAGGTATCAGATCGAGTGTGTGAATTGTTAATAAAATCCAAAAGCTGATCATTCAGATCTCTGGAGGAAGGCTGATAATCGATTTATTACTGAAACCTCCTTCCGCATTTACAATCATATCTTACTGAATTACAGTTTTATGAATATACACGTTTATTATGATCGTCTCACAGGTGGCTTTATTCCGAACATTTCCTCGTAAGACTTGAAATAGACATCATTTTCGCCAGCGATTGGCCTGGTGAGCCTTTTCAGCTTTGTCTCTTTCAGTTGACGTGACCATCGTATAGTGAACCATATAAGTATTGGAGACATCACCGTATAGTATGGAATTGTCTGGAAACATGAGGTTTGGAAAAAGCAGACTTTACGAAACGGCGCGGTTCGGCTTGGAGGGAACATTTTTTACTTTCACTAGTCCGTTTTGTTAATTCATGTTCAATAACAGGTTGCCCTTTGGCAACACCTGCAAACTCCTGTGGAATGCGTAATGGTGCGAGTGAGCCGCATTGATTATAGGAATTTACAGGTCTTCACAAGGTGGCGTGTAGAAGTTGAGCTGAGTACCATTCAGTGCCTCCTCCAGGTCAAACTGCAGCGAAAGACCTATTTTTTATTTCTCAAGCAATGTTTTTCGCTTTGCAGGAACCTCGAAAAGAATTTCCTGTCAAGAGTTCCGGAAGCTCTTTCAAAAAACTTACCCTAGCTCTAAGCCGAGACGAGCCGAAAAACTTCAAGACAGCTAGGATTTCGTCATCCCAAGAAAAAAATTAGAGGATGATTAATGCACTACTGCTGCATCGTTACTGTACATATAGTCCACAAGTCCACGTTAAAAAGGGCTGTTTACGGACCTGGTTGCGAGCGCGGTAGCGGCCGCATGTTGCTGGTGAAATATTGCCGGTCTATAACAGGAGAACAAATCACTAACCCGTTGGGATGGGAGAGCGCAAGCCGCACTAGAGAATGTTGATTCTTTGGGAATGGTAGGCTCCCTGAAGCGACAACGCCGTCCCAGTAAGGTGGAGCCCGTTAAGACTGACCGTTATGAATAGACTGGCAGCCTCGCCCGTGGATACACCCTTCCAAGATACAGACGGTGGGAACTGACACACACTTTAGAAACTTGCTTCAAGTGAGCTACCGATTGCAGTTCAGAACTGTGCACCATCCTAAAAACTAGAAATCGTAGTCGAGAAAGTCGCTCTGGGGGCGGTATTATACTTGCCCGACCGAGAAGAGTTAGTATTGTTCTAGAGGAAAGGAGATAAGTTCTTACTTAGATAAAGCAGAAACCTGGAGTGTCGTGCCGAATGGCCTTCTTCGAAGCTGTTCAGAGGTTACTAGAAAGTAGAACCCTGAACTAACACGGCACGTCATACGCTGGGGAGTCCCCACAGGGGGTGCTGTTTGGTCGCGCGAGAAGGATTGTATTGTTTAATGGATGAGGACCTCATTAAAGAACAAGATTTGGGAAAAGTTCGTTCTGCAAAAACTCTCCCCAGCTATCGATATCTATACTTTCCTAGCCGCTGACGCTGAGGACGTGCGAAACGCTGATGGCCGCTGGTGGACGCTACCGCACACCGCTACTGATGAACACAGCCTTCTAGGATTCCGCTCATAGTTCTCGTATCAGTTTACTCTAAGAATTAACTATACATTAACTTACATATGTTGCAGAAGTTAGTGTTATGTAAGTGATTCTGTCCAGATCCGTGTATAAGAAGGACACTATCGTTCCACTGATCGTGAAGGATACATAAAACAGTGTCTGACAAATGGACAACGGTAGAATAATCCTTATAACACTGGTATTTTCAAAAAGCTGATACGATGATTGAAGGTCATAGGACTTCCTGAAAAAAAAGATTTCTACATCATCGTAATTTCATAGCCTAAGAAAACAAGGAAGACGGGCGGGATGAATTTTTACTCAAGTGGTTGTCATATTCGAGTTCTATTTCGGCCCGACGCCAGTTGTGATCATTTGCCAACAGCCAAGTTTATGAAGCACTCGGCGAGAGAAATGTGACGCCAAACGGCGATGAGTGGGTGACGGAATCAGAAAGGAGAGTAATACTGAGGATAAGGACATTCAGTGAGATCGAGTTCCAGCAGAAATTGAGATCAAGTTCCATCTGAAACTATCTCAGAATGCTTCGATGTCGTAATCGTTGACGGCGCATTTCGTAGGATAGGGGTGATAAGCAGCGAGATTGCTCGAGGGGCTCTACCTGAACACAATGGACTCCGCCCCATTGGTTTCTGCTGCCTCGCTCGTCCCACTATTCTTTCACTCCTTTCCCCATCCGAAATCTCAGTGAATCCACCTTCCATCTTTAAGGTCCGTCACCGTTCACGACCTGCGCTTCTGCTTTCTGTGCTTTAGCTTTTTTCTCTCGACGAGTTAACTAGCAAGCACACAGTTGCCTTTAAACCCCACAACAGAGAGTTGAGTCGTGAAATGTGCCGCTAAATAGTGGCTATTCATTGGATTTCAGTAAATAGAGTGACGCGTTCGTACCTTGCGTTAGCGTTCACCAGCGACCAATAGCGTCCACCAGCGTGACGAGCGTCCGACACGTCACCAACTACGAAAATACAGATATGGACCTAGCGTTTATCAGGGTCTACCAGCGTCTGCCAGCGACCAGCAGCAGACTGCTAGTATAGAGTATAGAGCGAGGACTATTGGCTGACTGCTACCTTCTTAGTTTCCCATACTCTCCACTTCCGGATGCTGGCAGACGCTAGATCGATACCTATACTTCCGTAGCCCTCAAGACGCTGCTGTTCGCTGATGGACGCTGGCAGACACTGGCAGACGCTGGATCGATATCTATATCTGTTAGTCGCGGACGCTGCCGGACGCTCGGAACGTTTGTGGACGCTATTGATCGCCGGTGGAAGCTGCCGCAAAGCATGAACGCGTCCTTAGATGGCGTATCCGATATATCACCTTATCTCTTTCATTGTCGTGTACCACCGTGTATCATTATCACATGAAATTTTGCCTTTGGAATTCAAAATAGTAATGAAGGAGGTGTTATTTGTACCTTTTCAAAAGGATTTTGTTCAACAGATATAACGTTGCTATTCCAATCAAGTGCCGAAAGATCAGCTACACAAATGGTGAGCTTCATAATTATTATACTTTCCGGTGATGCGATTCCATTTATAATGCAGTAACTTGTTGGATGTTTTTGAGTGATACCACTAGTCACTACTAGTATCGTCGAAAGACCGATAATTATCTGAAATCATTATTTTGTTTGCAATTGACGGCCATGATAATTTATCAAGATTTGTGCTGGCATGACTACGATTGGGTTTCAGCTTGGTATCGCGGGAGTTTCCTTCAAGTGAGTTGTTCGGCTTTGAACAGAAGAAGGAGAAGTCTAATGAAAGAGCGAAGGAAAGAAAGAAAGAAAGAAAGAAAGAAATGTGAATTTGCAGAAATGACAAGTAAACTTCACTTCACAATACTCGTGAATACATTGACAAGAGCCTTGCTGCATAAGCAAAAGCTAGCCGAATTATTGCTTGAGAGGTTTTTGCACTTTTGCTAGTTCTTTTTGCTATTTCATGTTGACCGACAGGTAAACCCTTGTGAAACTGCAAAATGGTGCAAGGAAGCCACCTAGCTTACAAGGATCTACATGAATTCACAAAGAGGGCTGTACGGACTTCGCTGAGTGCTATTTGGTGCCCCCTCCAACCTGCAAAACACTTTGCCCAGCCCGGACTCGACCTCCGGTGTTCAGGCCAGAAATGCTAACCCTGCTACTAGGGCTCCCGCTCTCTTTCATTCCGTGGAGAGGGCATGAAGTCGCCTAGGCGGTGTAAGGGTCAGCATCCTTGCACGGAAAGCAAGAGGTAGGGGTTCAGGTCCTGGCTCAAGCGAAGAGTTCTACCAAAAACTCAATGTTGTTGTGGTAATTTTCACATAGCGAGCTGCAAAAATAATAGACATCAAAAAAGGTAGTGATTAGTTTAGTGAAAAGAAACTCAACAATAGCGAGGTATTTTGAACACAGCGAGGTGTCTGGGAATTCTGTTCACTTTTCATGATGACGTATTCAGATGTGTAAGTGAACTCACGGAAACAATGACTAGAGTGATCCCCACTCTCGACCCGTAATGTTCGTAATTCCGACGTTTCCACAATGCGATACCTCTCTCGATAACCATCGACACCTACAGAAAAAAAAACGATGGCAACGGTGAGTACTTCTCCACTTTCATTTGATCACTGCGTACTATCGGAGCAAAAAGTATATCCCCAATAGTCTCCTGAGACTGAATGCTGCATTCTACTCGCCCTCTTCCCCTAGTTTTTACGACCACTTTTCTCACACATGCAAATAGTTGATGTCGTCGAGATCAGTCTAGGCGGTTTGAAGGCAGGGTACAGCATGGGGATGTGCGAAATGTCGGTGTGAGTACGACCCCCCCCCTTCGAATGGGGTCCAGGCACGACCCCCCCCCCTCCACGGCTTTTTCGCCGACGACGAGCAATGAGTATATAGTCGGCGAAAAAGTTGTCGAGCGGGGGGGGTTATACAGTAACTATGCAACGTATATTACAGAATGCATATAGTCGTATACAAACAAAAAAATCAATACGACTCCCCCCCTTTCACAAGAAAAAATCATATCCATCCAAATAAATCTGTATGATCTACAAGATACCGACCCCCCCCTCCCCAGAGCAAAAGTGGTGCGACCCGTCCCCCATGGGTTTGACACAAAGATGCTGTACCCTGTGTGAGGGAGTGGAGTGAGCCGGACGCCTTTCCTACCAACGGTGATCGTCCAGTGATCGATTCACGCATAAAACAATCAGTGGTGAAAGCAGTAGCTCAGGGGTCATTCCGTGCCCCGACTGATTGCGAATATATCAATTGTAGACGGTTCCGTAAATAAGTGAGCGTTCTTAGTGGCATACCTGCGAGACCAACAACCAGGCCTAACAAGTGAGGGTCAGGAACCGAGTTGCAAATGCACCCGCCAACTAGCTCAACGCGCGGTACCTTAATCAGTTGGTCCTTCTGTGTGTGGAGCGTTGCTTCCGAGTAGGCGCTGCTATAGGATGACTTACGCGGTGTTTCGCACGAACCCTATTCACTCAACGTGGCACTACTGTGGCGCCTCGACTTATTCTGCGTTTGCCTCTCCAAGTCCAGCTCTCTCTAGGCTTGTTCCTGTCTAGTCAACTAGCTAGGAGATACACTGCTAGGACACGCGATGCCGCGACTTGGAGAAGGCGCTGTTCAGATTTCCCATCCGAGCCGTAATTTAATCGTTTTGTAATGAAATTATTTTTCGGTAGTGATTGTAACTCTCAGAACTCACTTGAAGTGCAGCGCATGCCACCATACAGCTCGCTATAGGATAACGCAAAGAATAACAGAGTATTGGTGAGACACCTATATCACATGGTTGGTAAGAGAAATATTGGAAAAGGTGAATAGCCTGAAATCAGCAGTTATGATACGTTGAAGGTATGCAGGACAACAGAACATCCTTCCTGAAGAACTGGTACCTCTTTCCAGCGGTTGCCTCTGAATGTTCACATATCAAATCTTATTAGCTGTTGTGTACTTTCTTACCGCCTGTATGTCACGAAACTCGTTGTAGCACATTAAGGAATTCGTTGCAAGAGGTGATATGGAGGAGGAGGAAGGGGCAGGACTAATGAAGGGTGTGG